ATTGGTTCCTTTTCTTTGGTGTTTGGGTAAAAAATATACGTGTGTTTATTTATAAGCCCCAAGTTGACAACATTTGATAAAAGGCTTGTCTTCCACTATCAAGCTTTGTCAGTTCCCATCGCCATTGCTGTCAATTGCTGTGTGAATCAGGCTTTTCGTTGATTATGATATTTTCTACAAACAGCAGTGTTTTACTTATGTTGCACTTGCTTGATAAATCACTAAGTGCTGAATAACGAAGCTAGCAGTGCCTACCTACCCAAAGTGCAGATGATACCTATAGGAGTGACAGAGCCAAATTTATAATTGATTCATCAGATCAATACCTAAAGGACATGGAAAGTGTTTTCGGTTGGGGGTGTTCCTTAAAGTCTAAATTATCCCCAGATCAGGATAATGATTCTAGATTTGTGATTTGAGTATTTACGTTAGGTACATGCATGTAATTTCAAACAAATTAATTTCCTTCTGTACAGTCCGTTGCCTGATTAGAAATCAGTACTTCACATGCTCCAATTTATTGCAAAGTAAGCATTTGTATATTTCTCAAACAACAAAACGTTCTACAGAATTCAGATTTTTGCAGACAAGCCACCTGAAATCTGCAGCATTAGCCCACTGGCAGTGCGAGCAGACAGCAGGCAAATGGATAAAAATTGAATTAATACAGTAGAACCAACTGTACCGACCAGGAGGGAAGTAATCCCTACTTTGCCTTATGGGATCTTTGGTTTGTGTTAGAATTTAAGGGAAATTTCAGTACTGTCTTGATAATATTTTCAAAAAGAATACATCTGTATGAAATATTGAAAGTGTAACATATTCATCCTCACCTTGCGGATCCAAGGTTAATTATACCCCCACGCTCTCTCACATAACTGACGACATCGGCGCGCACTTTTTGGGGTCAAAGAGCGATCAAGGCCAATCAGAAAGGTAAAACAGGTATAAAAGGCTAGAATTACCTTTCCTCATTGCTCTGTTATGGTTTCCCTAGTGGTTGTCCGAGAGCGCGTTCCTTATTCTGGTTATTTGACTTTGGCATTGATTTTGACTTCCCTTTTTTCTGGTATCCCTGACCTCTGGCTTTCCTTTATTGTTGTGTCCCTTTCTGTGTCCCCTGACCTCGGCTATTCCTGACTATTCTTTGGTACGTTAGTCCGGCCATTCTAAGGCCCGGTATACGTTACCTATTAGTCTCCTGTGCTGGATCATACTATAATCCTGACATTACGACATGGCCATAGGTCCTGTAGAATTGTGTAAGCAAACTAGAGGAGAATGATCACCGCATGGATCAGTTTGCCCAGGCCTTCAGTACGCTTCTTACCCAAACAGCGCATCCTCAACTTGCGGCCTCTCCTACTGTCTCACCTCCACCTTATGTACCTCCACCTATAGTACACAAGGCACCCACTATCTCTCTATCTCCTCCCCTGCATTTTGATGGTAATATTCAAGAATGCCGGGGATTCCTTAACCAAATAGAATATCATTTTGAGGCCTCACCGGGATATTTTCCCACAGATAGAGCTAAAATTGGTTACCTGATGAACCAACTAAAAGGTAAAGCTTTAGCTTGGGCCAATCCGTTATGGGAGAGTAATAGGAATGTGGCATACAATTACCAGGAATTCCTTATGGAATTTAAACTTACGTTTGAACCATTAGGCAGGGAGAGAACCGGTCTATCTCGGAGTACGCCATAAAATTCTGTACCTTGGCTTCCGAGGTAGACTGGACTAACAGTGGGCTAATCTTTGCATTTAAAAAGGGACTATCTGAAAATATGCTAGATGAGATTGCTGCCAAAGATCTACACAAGAAACTTAAAGAGTTTATCACATTTGCTATGCAAATTGACAATAGACTAAGAACCAGAGAAGCTACTAGAAATAAGACCAGACGTATGACTATGCATTTAGCACCCCGTTTCTTCAAACCTGTTGTTCCTGACCTTCTTATACAGTCCGAACCCGAACCCATGCAGTTGGGGGTCACTAGACTATCAGAGGCTGAGAGACAATATAGGAGAAAAGAAGGCCTATGTCTATACTGCGGTATTAAGGACATTAATAAACAATTAATTAAACAATTGTCCTATTCGTCCGGAAAACTACCGCACCTAAGCGCCTTCAGGGGACAGGTCTTAGGTGTAATGGAGACGTCCTCTGAAAATAATAAATATAGATTTCTCCTTGATATTTGGATTATCCTTGACAAAAAGAGCTTTTCATGCAAAGCCCTGATGGACTCAGGGGCTGCTTGAAATTTCATTGATGTCCAATTTGTTAAGGGTAATGCTATACCTGTCAAGGAAAGACTATCAGCTCTGGCTGTAGAGGCTATAGATGGGAGACCACTCTCACAACCATTAATTACTCACAAAACATTACCCATTAGTATGTCCATTGGAGCCTTGCATAAGGAAGATATAACATTTCAGGTTATTGCATCCTCTTCCTGTCCTATCATATTAGGCTTTCATTGGCTTAGCAAGAATAACCCTCATATTGATTGGGCTAATGGGGAAATATTGGAATGGGGTAAGGATTGTGAGGGAAGGTGTATAGTACATATCACCAAGAGAGTGGCTACTATCTCATTACCTGCCATTACTCCTCAAACTCACGAAGTTCCCATACAATACCAGGACATTAAGGAAGTATTTAGCAAGACTCAGTCCAATGTATTGCCTCCCCACAGACCATATGACTGTTCCATAAACTTACTACCCAGCGCTATGCCACCTAAGGGAGCAGTTTATGCTCTATCCCCACATGAAAGTAGAATAATGGAGGAATATACTAAGGACTCACTGAGTAAAGGCCATATTCGCAAATCATCCTCGCCTGCTGATGCAGGGTTCTTTTTTGTGTCAAAAAAGGAAGCTGTGTTACGCCCTTGTATCAATTACAGGGCATTGAACAAATTCACCATTAAGAATCCCTATTCCTGTTATTGCTGAGTTGTTTGACAGGCTCCAAGGGGCTAAAATATTTACTAAGCTTGACCTTAGAAGCGCTTACAATTTAGTAAGAATCAAGGAAAACCATGAATGGAAGACTGCATTTAATACCAGAAGTGGACACTATGAGTATCTGGTGATGCCATTCAGGTTGTGCAACGCTCCAGCGGTTTTCCAAGATTTTATTAATGACGTACTCAGGGATTACATTTACTTGTTTATCTTAGTCTATCTGGATGACATCCTTATTTATTCCCCTGACATCCATATTCACCACGGTCATGTCAGATAAGTTTTGCAAACCTTATTGAAAAATCACCTTTATTGTAAATTGGAGAAATGCATCTTTGATCAGTCAGAAGTACAGTTTTTAGGATATAATATTTCTGCCTTGGGGTTTCAGATGGATCCTAAAAAACTGGAATCAGTTCTACAGTGGCCTTTACCCACTGGGTTAAAAGCCATTCAACGGTTCATTGGTTTTGCCAATTATTACAGAAGGTTTATAAAGAGTTTTTCTTCCGTAATAGCCCCCTTCACCAATATGACATGCAAGGGGGCTAACAGTTCGATATGGTCTAAGGAGGCTATAGAGGCTTTTGAAGTTCTCAAACAAAGGTTTGCCTCTGCAGACATATTAATACATCCAGACACCAGTAAACCTTTCATACTGGAGGTTGATGCCACAGAGATGGAGGTAGGGGCTATTCTCTCCCAGAGGGAGAGCCAGGATACTCCTTTGTATCCTTGTGGCTACTTCTCTAGAAAGTTGTCCTCTGCTGAGCGCAATTATGATATTGGCAATAGAGAGTTGTTGGCCATTATTCTAGCTCTCAAGAGTGGCAACATCTTTTAGAGGGTTCCAAGGACCCCCTTTTGATCATTACTGACCACAAAAACCTGGCTTACATCGGTGATGCTAAATGGTTGTCTTCTAGACAGGCTAGGTGGTCACTATTCCTTTCTCGCTTTAATTTTCTTATAACTTATAGACCTGGTTCTAAAAATGTCAAGGCCGACACCTTATCCAGACAGTTTGATACTGAGTCAATACAAGAACTGGAAACATCCCCTATCATCCCCTGGAATGTATCATTGCTTCCACTATCCTTTCATTGTCCTCTGCGCTGTTTGGCTCCATCATGGAGGCTCAGTCTCAGGCGCCCTGCGGTAAGCCTCAGGACAGATTGTTCGTTCCATTGGGTGAAAGGGTTAATATCATGAAAGTGTTTCACGACAAAGTGACTGCTGGTCACCCAGCTATTAATAAATCCACTTCTGCGATCATGAGATCATTTTGGTGGGATTCTCTCAGGAAGGATGTAAAGGAGTATGTGCAGGCTTGTTCTGTTTGTGTGGTTTCTAAAGTTCCTCATAAACTCCCTTGTGGCTTGCTGTTCCTGAGGTCCCATGGTCCCACTTGTCCATGGATTTCATTGTCGAACTTCCTAGTTCTAATGGCTATACCACTATTCTCATGGTTGTTGACTGTTTTTCTAAAATGGCTCATTATGTCCCACTCAAGAAATTGCCGTCATCACAAGACCTGGTACTGATCTTTATACGTGAGATTGTCCGTCTGCATGGCATTCCTCACAATATTGTATCTGATAGAGGCTGTCAGTTTGTATCCCGGCTCTGGAAGGCTTTTAATAAGCAATTGGGGATTGAGTTGTCTTTTTCATCCTCTTATCACCCCCAGACTAATGGTACGGCTGAGAGGGCTAACCAGTCTTTGGAATTATATTTGCGTTTTTTTGTTAATAGCACTCAAGAAAATTGGTCTGAATTGCTACCATAGGCCGAGTTTGCTAGAAACAATGCTGACCATGACTCCTCGGGGCATAGCCCATTTTTTGTTAATACTTGTCGGCACCCTACTGTCCTCCCGGCTGTTTTTTCTGACATGGCTATTCCCGCTTTGGACGACCCTCTTGCTTCTATTCGTGATACCTGGGTCAAAGTTCACTCCGCCCTGGGGACTGCTGCTGACCGTTTCAAGCATTATGCTGAAAAACAGCGAGGTGCCAACCCTGTTTACCAAGTGGGTGAGAGGGTTTGGTTATCTTCGCACAACATCAGGCTTAAAGTTCCTAGCATGAAATTTGCTCCTAGGTTCCTTGGGCCTTTTCGTGTCCTTCGGAGGCTCAATCCCGTTTCGTACTCTCTGGCCCTTCCGGTCTCCTTGAAAATTCCTAACTACTTTCATGTCTCTTTGCTCTTATTTGCAATAAATATACTGTCCCAAGTGTTCCCCCTCCTCCCTTGGTTGTTTCTGGACAGGAGGAGTATGAGGTCTCTTCCATAATTGATTCCAGATTTCTTCGGGGCACTTTACAGTACTTAGTGGATTGGAAGGGTTATGGTCCGGCCAACCGTTCTTGGGTTCCAGCCTCTAATATACATGCTGGCTGCAAGATCCGCTATTTTCATGCTAAGTTTCCTCTTAAGCTTGGTCCTGCCCGCCCAGTGGGGGGTAATGTAACATATTCATCCTCACCTTGCGGTCAACGGCCATGCATCTGCACGAATTACACTTGCGGCATGTTAATGGACACCGGCCGCTGCGGATCTAAGGTTAATTATACCCCCACACTCTCTCACGTAACTGACAACGTCGGTGCGCACTTGACGTCGCACATGCATTTTTTGGGGTCAAAGAGCGATCACGGCCAATAAAACAGGTATAAAAGCCCAAAAGTACCTTTCCTTATTGCCCTGTCGTGGTTTGCCTAGTGGTTGTCCGAGAGAGCGTTCCTTATTCTGGTTATTCTGGTTATTTGACTTTGGCATTGATTTTGACTTCCCTGTTTTCTGGTACTTTTCTGCTACTTTTGGTAACACAGAATTGACATTGCAAAAATAGCTGATATCGTGTAGACTTCATTGTATAGATTTGATTCCAATATTGTTGAATAGGTTAGGCAGTGGCTGTGTGACAAGCAACAGAGGGATGTAGTCAATGGAGTATATTCGAAGCAAGGTCGAGTTACCAGTGGGGTACTTCAGGGATCTGTACTTGGCCCCATTCTCCCCCCAAATATTTGTATTAGTGATATTGCAGAAGGTCTTGATGGTAAGATATGTTTTTGCTGATGATCCAAAGATTTGCAACATGGTGGATGTTCCAGGAGGGATAAGTCAAATGGCAAGTTATTTAGGTAAACTAGAAAAATGGTCAGAGTTGTGGCAACTGACATTTAATGTGGATAACTGCAAGATAATGCATCTTGGATATAAAAACCCAAGGGCAGAGTATTTGATACAGTACTAACCTCAACATCTGAGGAAAGGGATTTAGGAGTAATCATTTCAGATGACTTAAAGGTAGGCATACAATGTAATAGAGCAGCAGGAAATGCTAGCAGAATGCTTGGTTGTATAGGGAGAGGTATTAGCAGTAGAAAGAGGGAAGTGCTCATGCCATTGTAGAGAACACTGGTGAGACCTCACTTGGAGTATTGTACGCAGTACTAAAGACCATGTCTCCAGAAGGATATTGATACTTTAGAGAGAGTTCAGAGAAAGACTACTAAACTGGTTCATGGATTACGGGATAAAACTTACAAGGAAAGGTTAAAGGATCTTAACATGTATAGCTTGGAGGAAAGACAAGACAGGTGGGATATGATAGGAAGCATTACTTTACAGAGAGGGTAGTTGATGCATGGAATAGTCTTTCAGTTGAAGTGGTAGAGGTTAACACAGTGAAGGAGTTTAAGCATGCGTGGGATAGGCATAAGGCTATCCTAGACTTAAGATAAGGCCAGGGATAATATCAGATATGTGGGCACAAGATAAAATTATATCATTTTCCATTCTTCAACTGAAGTATGGTTTACCCCATAGAGAAATATTTGCTTACTTAAGAGTCAGAAACGATCTTAGTAAGAAACATATCTTAATTGTACACCAATTTTCAAATCTGATTAAATGTGCAGTGGGGAAAAGACAAATATATAAAATCTCAAAAATCCTTACTGAAAACATACATTTTAAAAAACCTAATTCCCTCATTAAATGGGAGAATTATATTGAAAAAATATTTACACCAAAAAATTGGTACAAAAGTATACTATCAATAAGGTAAGATATCCATTTCCTTTCACTGACTGAATTACACTATAAGCTTCTATACCATTGGTTCATGGTTCCGGCAAAATTTGAACAAGATCTAATCTTTAAACCCTAATAATTGTTGGCGATTCTCAATCTCTAAAAGGCACATATACCACATATGGTGGGAGTGTACAGTATTAAATAATTTAAAACAGCAACTTTACACATTAATTACTGAATTGTTCAATGCAACCTTAAATGTTCTTATTAAATCTTGATTTTCCAAGTTATACCAAAAACAATAAGAGACTTGTAACCCATATATTCCTTGCAATAAAGATCTGTGTAGCAAGAACTGTAAATTACCAAGGGAAATAAGTTGGTCTGAAATTTCTAATCAATGCAATATGGTCCGAGGGTATTATGTATCACAATATCAAACTGACACGTACAATGAAATCTGGGCATCCTGGTTAACAGGAAAATAATCGAAAAATAAACATAATACAAATAGTGTTGCCCCTACTATGAATATAAGACTATGATAACTTACTAAGTAGTAAATTAGTCCTGAATGAGGGATGAATGTATGAATGTTGAATGAAAGGGATAATAAGAGTATCATAAATGCATAGGTTTTTATTAAATTGTTCTTATAACAATACATGTTCATTATAATGCACGATTGTAAGTAGCAAATACACTTGGTTCACTTTATGAATATGTAATTTATACTCTTAAAAATCTATAAAAAATAATAATAATAATTAAAAAAAAAGATAAGGCCAGGGACTAATGAAAGTATTTAGAAAATTTGGCAAACTAGATGGGCCGAACGGTTCTTATCTGCTGTCACATTCTATGCTTCTAGACATTATGAAAGGCAATATTGTAGCTTTTTTGCATGTCAGCACTGTAATAGGCACCCTTTTTATGGTACGAGGATTGAATTCTTTCAACTGATAACAAATCCCTGATTTTGTTTAGCATTTACTTTTAATTTCAAATGTAAAGGTATATGTGGCGAAAGTAACCACGCCACTGGCTTTTGGAGGAGCCTGTTTGCCAGCCTCCTACCCTATGACTATGGCCCCTGCAATAGATCTGGCTAAACTACTTCAGGCTCTGTTCATGCAATTGGCACTATATGGTTCGTTTACCGAACAACCGCACGAACAGAGACCAACCGGAGCTTGTTAAAGGACCACTATAGGCACCCAGACCACTTCAGCTTAATGAAGTGGTCTGGGTGCCAGGTCCATCTAGGATTAACCCTGCCTGCTGTTTTACACATTGGAATATAACAGGGAAATACATAAATCCTGGACAGCTGGTGGGCCATGAGGACTGATTTGAGAACCACTGCTTTAGAGCAAAGTAAGCAAATTTAATGGCACACTTGCTCTGCTTTTGCTGAAACTTGTCTCTGGTTTTCTCATAAGTGGAATATCAGAGGACAAAAGAGGGACAGGGCTGTTGTATGTATGTGTAGGCGAACTGTGGTTTTGTATGCATTTAAGGGCTGCACGTGAGGTTCCACGTATGCGGGTAGGTTGCTTTCAGTATTGTGAGTGTGGGTAGACTATCTGTGATGTATGTGTGGCTTTTATTTCATGTGTGGGGGTGTTTTATGTGTGTGAGGGTGTCTGATACTTGTGGGGTTGTGCACAAGTATGGGGCTCTTTGCAGTGTAGTGTATGTGTATAGGGGCTGTAGTATGGATGCTGTGTGCGTGTAGCATGTGTTTGTGATATGAGAAGGACTGAAGGATAAATGTGGAGGAAGAGAAGGCTGTAGCATGTGTGAAAAGGGTTAATGGCTGTTCTATATGTATGGGGACTAATGCCTGTTTTGTATGTTTGAGGGGATAAAGTCTGTAGTGTCTATAAGTGGGTGTGTAGAGTCTGTAGTATATGGGGGCATAGAATCTTTATTGGGGGTAGGAGATACTTTTGTATGATTAAGACATATGTTTGTCAAGATTCACAATGTGCTTCTCTAGTTACTCTGGTCCATTTTGAGGGAATGTTTAAAGTCTTCCTTTTCAGAGTTTTGTGTACTACTTTACCTCTACATAGTATATTAGCTACACCTTGGGTTTTTATAATGTACTCCAACATTCTGCAATTCTCTGTGCGGATATGCTCTATATAGAATAAGGTTTCCATCACAGGAATATATCCTCCATGAAAGTTATTTTTCCAGCTGTACAGGAAAAATGGACATACCTTTAGGAAATCAACATTTTTTTTAAACACCCTCCAATGATTTAATGATTTTATTTAAATTAAAGTGGCAACGAAATGATGACATGAAAGGGTTATTAAAGGGATCCTACAGTGCCAGGAAAACAAAGCCATTTTCCTGGCACTATAGATTTCTAATGTGCCCCCCTCCCTCGCGCCCCACATCATGCAGTGCTGAAGGTGTTAAAACCCCTTCAGTCACTTACCTGAATCCAGTGCCGAGTGCACTCGCATTAGGATTCCCCCATAGAATAGCATTAATCAATGCTTTCCTATGGGGACAAATCTGACATTGGAGGTCCTCATGCAGAGTGTGAGGACGTCCAGAATCAGATAACGAACCAAAGGTCCGTTTCGATTCAGGAAGTCCACTAGTGGCTGTCTGGTAGACAGCCACTGTGGACAGACTTACAGCTTCAATGTAAACATTGCAGTTTCTCTGAAACTACAATGTTTTACATTGCAACTCTAAGTGCAAAATGGACACAGCACCCAGACCACTTCAATTAGCTGAAGTGGTCTGGGTGCCTACAGTGTCCCTTTAAATAAAATGTGAATTGTTCTGAATTCAAACTTTCACAGTGAATTTCAAACTTTGTTTCACAGTAGATAAATTGGGATTTTTTTTAAAAAAGTACGCAAGTCCCCTTTAAGGCCTTAGGCCAAAGACACGTGGTACACAGGCTACGTAAGTCCATGCAAAGCTGGAAGCCACTACCGACAAGGGCAACCAAGCGACCACCTGACATGGGAGGACAAATGGGAGGAGCACAGGGGACTCTCACTTACGACCGGGGTAGAAGAAGACCCCCTCCACGTCCCGAGCTACAAGCCCTTCACGCACTCAGCTACCAACAGGTTCAACCCAAGCAGCCGCGGACGGCACAATGCCCCCCCTTGTGCAGGGCACAAACACCGCCACAGACATTCCATCACACACCCCTCAGTGTGGCATTGCCCCGCACTCCACTCACCGACCCTCGCTGTCACGGAACTGCAGGCCCAACATCGAGAACCCTGGATCGGTGGGTCCCCCACGCAAAGCTAGCAGGACTCTGGCAATTATACTCCAGCAGCCTCCCACCACGGGGCATCGGCTAAACAGCCCACGGGGACACTCAAATGACACTTGCGGTACCCATAATATATAATGTCCTCCTGGCATTCAGGGACAATCTCAGGGATTACTCCCACTGTTTACTTTATGTTTGACATTAACCTATGTTTAATATACATTTTTGATTACAATGCCATTATAATGGTGCCCTTAGCACTGCTTCAGCTGACATCCCTACCATTAAGCTTAACTTACTTTATGCTCTCTTAAAGCTCCACCCTTTAACCCTTGAGGGCCAGAACAGCTAGCGCAAGGGTATAGACAAACCACACATACACAAGTCTCATCCATATGCTTTCAACAGGGTAGCACCACATTAAGCAGAGACCCTGCCATTGCTACACTATACCCATACCTAAGCTTGTGTGTATGGAAATGCCAACTATCAAGTACCTAGCATGTATTATACACGTAGGACTTAGACTCACACCACCGTCACAGACGGTTGTATCTTACAAGATGCCCTGTTTATATCTTAAACCTGAAAAGCGAATCCTGTTAATTTTCATGATCACCTTACTTACAAACCATATATGTTGAGGCTCATATATTTACAAACAACCCAGTGGCTAATATCTCTTGACATTTAGGTGGACCCTCACCTTCTCTGCTGAGATTGTTAATCATACTTCCTTAGACTAACGACACTACTTGAAAATCTATTTTTGACGCACTCTCTAGCTATCCTGTAGCAGCCTGTCCTCTCACTACCTAACATGACACACAGCAATGTGTTCTAACTAAATATAAAAATTGTGCAGACCCACAGCCACAATGTTTTCAATGTTATGTTATTCTTAAGCGTGCTTATGCTGTTGTGGCAAGGCATGCCAGTATTTGTGCGCAACAAAAAATAAAGAATTTAAAAAAAACAAAAAAAAATATGTTTTCATTTCTGTAGTAGTTTGAAATATGGATTGAATTCACTTTGATTTTCTGATCACACACATTAATCCTGAACGGATTTTTGTTCTTGTAATGCCACTGATTTGCACTGCGAGTGCTACCAATTTGGACAACTGTTGACCAATGAGCGTAAGCTAGCTGACGATGGTTATAGGACATTTTGTGCAAGGCAAGCACTTCCCTGAACAAAATAACATGCTTTTCCAACCAAATATATTGTGATAATGGATAGTGGAAATTAATGATGTGTTTTTGGTTTTGTTGTTTTTTTTTCTATATGCACAAATGTAGTGTCATACTTAAATTTATGGTTGTAGAATTAAATCATGGCTACTTATATTGTGAAACAATAGATCAGTTCTAATTATACTGACATCTTGACTAAAATTGATTATTTATTTAATAATGTAAACTTATAACCTCTGCATGTACTTACAGGTGAAGCTGTCTGCGAACCTAGTTGGCCTTGACTAGTTGTGTAGAGATAAACAGGTTATTGGGAAGCTGGGCACAATGATGGTGCTGACAAGCTTTTCGGGGACAAAGCTGGCACTGTAGGAAGTGGGTGACATTTTACCTGGAGAAGTTTGTGGGCCTAAAGAGGTGGGTATAGTCAAAGTTATGTTTGTGAAGGGGAGGCGTTAGCAATATAGCCACATTTACCTAGGGCACCAAAAACGTTTGTGCACCCAGGCATCAGTGACCTTAGGATTAGCCCTGCGTATGATAGCCCAGGAATTAAAATGACCCCCATCATGGCATACCATTTGCAATAGTAGACAACCTTGTGTATTCAAAATGGGGCATGTCCAGTCTTTTTAATAGTCACTTAGTCACAATATTTGCCTACGTTAGTGTTCATATATGTTTAGTGCATTTTTAACACAAAAACTGCTCTTTCACTGATATCATCACTATTATATGTTTTAATAAAGTTACAGGATCAAATATAGTGCTTGTCCATTCCAGTTTCTACACACAGAAATTTGGAAGATTGGTTTGCTGGCCCTATGTTGCCTTTGAGACTGTATGGCAGCCCAGGAATGAAAATTACCCCGATCAAGGCATACCCTTCGCAGAAGTAAACAACCTATATTATTCAAAATGGGGTATGTCCAGTCTTTTGTAGTAATACCTCCAGTCTTAATACCTGGAAATATGACAAAGTGATTTTCTGGGCCTATGTCATGTCAGACATATGCTAAACATTAACCACAATTTTGTTTAAAATAACTACAAAATGGCTGTGATACTGTTTTTCTTTAATTGGGACTTGCAGTGTGTATAATACAAAATAATTTAGATTTTCTAGCATAATATATCTGACATTCACCTTTGAGAGAGTATGGCAGCTTGGATAATAACATTTCCACCATTTTCAAAGGTAGGCAAGCCAGAGTATTCCAAAAACGTACTTGAGATGTTTGGTCTAGCCACTTCATAAACACTAAATGGGGCCTGCATTTGTGATACTTTTATTTGTGTTTTTTCAGGATATTACATAATTCTGATATGAGTTAGGACAATAAAGCCTCAGTATTTTGATGTAACACCAGTTTTACACTTTTTGGGGGTTTAGTCACAGAGCCAAATATATTTGATGCCCATTTCAGAGTTGGAAAGTAGACAATGCAATTGTCTGAGCCTATGCTTCCTTTGAGACAGTATGGCAGGTCAGGAAAGAAAATTACCCCCATGATGGCATATTTTGAAAAGTAGGCAACCCAGTGTATTCCAAAAGATCTACTTTGAGTTGTTTGATGTAGCCACTTTATACTGGACGTGCATAACATAGCCGAGGTCAGGGGATCCAGAAACCAGAGTAGTCGGTAAAACAAGCCAATAAGTCGGTCCAGGCAGCGGACAGATTAATCAGGTCAAGCCAAGGCCAGGAATCCAGAATAGCAAAGTCACATACAGACTGCTCTGAATTAATATTTTATCTCTGTATGATACATTTTAAAACAATCAGATGTGCTTAGGGTAGGTACAGATGGGCAGTAAGGACAATATTACCCCTAACTCCTCTTTTGTAGCAGACTCTACACTTTTTCTGGGGTGACGTTTTGTGGGCTCTAGGGGGATTCTACTAGTCTTCCACAGAGTCTTTGGACATCTTCAGAGTACAATGACAAGGGATTACTCCATGAAAGTGTATGGCTTCCCTGTGGCTGCTCTTTTGTACAGTATATAGCAGTGATGGCGA